ATTCCTTTTAAATTAGACCTTATCCTTCACTAAACCCTCGCCAATTCCTCAAATTTTATTTCAGTTCGTGTCGTCGCGTCTCGTCTGGATTGAATTCAATTTATTTGTTGTCTTTGAGCTGAAGCTTTTAGAGGTGCCACTTTTTACCTGTAGATGCAGACTTTTCGGGTAAGCGACAATTTGTGTTACTGCAAATTTAATGCCGAATCATGAGTGCGAGAGAGAGAGAGGGGGACAGAACCGCAGCTTGTCTGTGCGGATCTTGCCCTCTCGCTCATCTTGGTAAGGATGCTGGTTACACACACACTTATGCATGCATGCAGCTAGCTAAAAACCCAGGTGAGTGCAGGACCGAAGTGCAGGCAGGTGCAAAAGGAGATGGAAACCGAGACGGGAAGCTGGGCGAGAGCAAAGTTAACTTTGCCCACGACAAAGTGACATATTAGCGTAGTCAACTTTACAAAGCACACTTACGGCGAAGGAACGAAGGGAAGTTAACACTCCACTGGGCTGGCAGCCTGGCAGGCACTTTGGGGTTAATTTTGTTATTTGCCCAAAAACTTTGCCTCAAATTGTAGGCATGTGCAAAACTCCTCAAGCAATTTAGTTCTTGGCGCGGCAAACGTCGCAAACATTTTTCGGCATTCTCAGAAAGAAGAAATCAAAAACCAATTAGGGAAACTTTTGGGTCATATAATCTAGCATGCTTTGTAATTTGCCCAGTTAAAGCGAATTTCACTTTCGACCACGGAGCAGAACGGAAACTCTTGCACTCTTCTCTCATAATTGCAAAAACATTTTCACACCGAGTAATTATAGACTTGAGACTGCGGCAACAAAAAGCTGTAATTTCGAGCTCGTCCAGCGAAGATTTGCATAAATTTGCCATTGCTTTTTGCCCGGTTAATTTGCCACACGGTGGCTGCCTTTAAAGCGCCAACGCAACATAATTAAATATAAATTAAAACTAAAATTTAAATGCAATCATATAAATGTCAATGAAATCATTTCGATTTACCGACTCGACCGCTGCGGTCTGGCGGTGGTCAGCAATATAAAATGTCTTTCCTATCCGGCCATGCGTGATCCCGTCGGTTGCAATTTGCAAATGATGCGCAATTTATTAATTATCTATGAAGCCCTTTTTAATAAACCGAATTACAAACGTGCACAAACGGCAAATTCGATAAAATTCATAAATGTTATGTTTATTAGTTGGCATACCCGCAAAAAAATAAAAGCAATTTGCATTTCATTTAGAATGAAGGTTGATAGTCGAGTCTCGCTGGTGTACAAAACATTCAATCAACATAATAAATATGAAAAAATGCCATTCCCAACTATGCCAATTAGGCACTCGACTCTGGACAACAGCCCACACATGAATACCACTTCTCTGCGGTCAAAACTTTGTCATTCTGGCCATCAGAGAGGGGATGGCCTAGGTATTCAATGTTTTAATTAGTTGACAAAGTATTTCAAACACTTAAATAAACAATAATGAATACTGATAACCAATCTATTTGGCGGATCTAATTATGTCGGGGAATGCAGTGCTTGATGGGATGTGCAAAAAGCTATGAATAAATTGAAGGACTATTATTTATAATGGTATCCTAGCTGTTTACAAGTCAACAGCAGACATTAGATGAATTCAAAGAGTTACCTTTTCGAAACGTACGCATTTCATTTCGCTTTTCCGACACGTGCCGCCTGACAAATCGCCGGCCAACTCCATTCCATAATCATTGCCGACACTCTGAGCTGTAAAAAATTCAACATAAATTAAGTGTCTGCCCACATTAGTTGGTAGTTTGGCCTGCAGCCGAAAAATCTGAATATCCAACCTGAGCTCACGCACCTCTCAGCTCATTTTACGACCCAAAATTTTACTGGCAAAAAAGCAGACTGAAAGCGCGCCTAATGCGCATTGAATAAAGTACTAAAAAAATAATTTGCAACCTCTGGGGGGCCCATCGCATAAAGAAAGGTGAACGTCCAAAAGGGAAATCAGAGCGACGGCGAGGGAACTTCCCCTTCGGCTTGGCGCTGTTCAAAAATTTTTATGTTTATTGCGTATACGCACCGTGTTCGAGAGAGCGTGAGTGTGTGTGTGCGTGCTGGGCGTGGGAGTATTTTATATACACACTTCCGGTGGCTGGTTCCCGGTTACCCGGCCCTGTGTTTAATGTTGTTTTGACGCCGCCATATTAACCGGAGGCGGGAATCCGGCTGGATCCGGCGAAAGGCAGGAAATGTGCGACGCCAGGTACTTTCTATGTAAATGGATACACGCATTTGTAACCCCGGCCCCACAAACCCTTTTTTGTTTGCTCGCTCGCTTCCGTATCCAAAATATTTATGGTCCTGGGGCATATGTTTGGATCCAGCAATTTATTTAACCTTCAAATGCGATGTTCTTTCCTCCCCGCTTCTCGGATTTTTGTGGCGAAGGTGTCGCCTTCTGTTGGCCCAAAATTTGCCTAGATTTGTTACGCATTATAGGCCAAGGCTTAGTGGCTGTTTCACAACGTGAATGGCGGGTGGTTGGTAAATTTGTTCGGCCCACAAATCAATACGACACTTGGGTTCGTTAACACCATTCGAATTCGAAGAAAACTCTCTGCCTTAAAGAACTGGCTTTAACAGAAGGTTAACCTTTCATACGGCTTATTTACATCTGCCCGCAGCCTCGTCACGAATTTTCCTTATTTTCTTCGTCACTTTTATTTACGATATAAATTGCACAAAATGGTCACGCGACTGACCAAACAATAAAAGCGCCAGCATTAATCTTCTCTGGCCCTCGCGGATGGCCAATGGGGGCAGAATCGCGAAAGGGGAGCGGAGGAGTGGCTGCGAAATGGAGGGGGAAAAGGGGCAAGTGGAGAAAAAGGGGGCCAAAAGGGCCGGACAATGCACCCCTCTTTTTGTTGCCAATTTCCGGATGCAATGCTGCGAATTTCCGTCTGGAAACTTCACAACGATGGCGACGAAATTGCTTAAATGTAAATAAATCAGTGGTAAGAAAATGTTTCTGTGGTCAGTGCCCATCCACGTCCCTGTCCACGCAGTCATCCGCGTCCGCGTTCTCCTTCTCGTCCTGCAGCTCGTCCTGCATCGCTCGTCCTGATCTGGATCCTTGTCTGCTGGGCTGTAAGTGTTGGCTTATAAATCAGGCCACTGCAGTGACAGACAACACAGTGCAACTCCGCATTAATGGCGGCTTAAGTGTGTCGTAAGCTTCGGCTGCAGCGGAAAAGAACTCGCTTAATTGCTCAGCATTTTCGTTTAATTTCGCACAACTCGCAGTAAAGTTTTATTAGCTCGTCGGGGCATAAATCAAGCGGCGAGTTGCACACGAAAAGTCGTTTGTCATTTCGAACAATCAATTAAAAGCAAATGTCGCATAAATACATGAATTCTTTTGTGACGAAACGATTCATCATTCATCATCGCGGAGCCGCAAAAGAGCAGTAAAAAAACGCTTTTTGTCAAAACTTTTAATTTAGGTAATAAAATTCAACGGGGAATGGAAACAGCTGAAAACAACTGCAATTTTAGGGTGGCAGGGGATATATCTATATGATTGATTTAATGAAAACATTCGCAATAGGAAAATAATATTTTGATCTAGCAAAAATAAAAAAGCTTCATGTAATAGCAGCAGTAATAGTTCCCCAGTATTGAACACAACTACTATTTTCGCCTTTATATTCCTTTATTTATGATAAATTCCAACGGCGGAGTGTCATTGTCCTCTGCATTGTTACTCCCTTTTTATGAATTTATTTATTTCCCGCGATGAGTATATATTTTTTGCTTTGTGCGACGGAGGTAGGAAAATCGAATTCAAATTGATTTTTAATATTTATTTATGAGTTAAAATACAATCGAACGCCGTTTTTCTGTCGGCGGCAATATGAATTTAAGTCCGTTTTGCTTGGCTTTTGTGGGGCTTTATTGCCGCCGTCTGATTGATAGCCTTGCCTAAATGGAGGGTCCTAGAAATGACTTGGTGGCAGCCACAGCTCCAAAATGAGCATAAACAGGCGTTTAATTTATAATTTGTGCGGTGCATTTTGATTAATTGAATTCAATCTGGCGGGTTAATGGCAGCGCCTGCCGCCACCAGGCTCTGTGGTTTTGCGGCCTGACATGTGGTCCACTGCAATTTCTATCCCGTTCTCCCATGTCTTTCCCTCAAATATTTGATCTGGCCAAGAATAGCTGCGTGTTTGTGTGTCTTTGCTCGGCAAAGGCATATCTTTGAATCTAAATAGGTTCTGCGGAACCGGAAAGCCGGCACCTGGATACCCCAAAATTTACAAGTCATCGACGGCGACGGCGATGCGGTCAAAATTTGCATAATTTGCTTTCCATGTAGGCCCTTTATAAATGCCGGCGACTATGATCTAAGTTCCTCTTGCTTTGCTTGCTGTTTGCGTTGCTTAAGCGAAAACGGTGTTAAGTGCTTTCGCATACAAAATTTACATGGCCCGACAATTTTTGAGCGCTGTATCGGCCATGTTGCTGCTTCAGTTGGTTAATGTTGCTGCTGTCGCTGTTGATGTTGCTCCAGTCGCTATTGCTGCTGCTGCTGCTGCTGCTGCTGTTGTCGCTGTACTCAATGCAGATTGTAGGCTGTTTTTGTTATTGTGCCTCTGCGGTTGTGTCGCTCCGCTCAGCTTGACTTCCGCTTTTCCCTTTGTTTGCTCACGCGGCCCGTCAATATTTACCGTTTGCTACAAGGCAGTGCCGAACACACAGGACACACGCCGCCCAATCGCCACGCCCCTGTGTTCGCAAACACCAGTTTGCTGCAACATTTGACTTGTCGGCCGGGCCTGCTAATGTTTGCCCCAGTTGCTGCCCCAAAAAGGTGGAAATCAAGTGGGTCGCAGGTCAGTGATCCTTTGGGAAAACGCTAATGAGATATTGGCACAGAACCCCTTCCATTGCAATCAATATGCTTACTCTTCCTGGTTTCATACATTTTATTAAATTTAATTTATTAACTTTAGCCTAGTACTCAGTTAAATATTTTACATGCAGTTGCTTAGCCTTTTATTTTATTAATTTTATGCATTCTGTTTTCTTATACTAGAATTTACTTTCCCCGAAGATTTTCATGCTTGTTCGGCAAGCCTCTTCGGATTTCCTTTTCTTTTTCGTAGTTCGTTACGTATAAAATGCAAACTGGATTTGCTAATTTGAGTCGTTTATTAATCGGTCATTAATTAGTTGCCTTACTGTTAGTGTTTCTTTAAATTCTTTATGATCTTTTAATTACAATTTGAACTATGCTAAGTCGGAGCTTACAGCTAGATGAATTCTCTTTAGATGTTTTAAATGCCTTAGTTACGCCTAAGTTACAAGCTAAATGGTAATGGGAGCTAGGTTACTCGAACTAAACTCAACAACAATTATGAATTCGTTTACTTAGCTAAAAGTTTATGTTTCTCTTTTGGCGCTTAAAGCTGTTGTTTAAAAATATATTAACAATTCAGTATTTTCGATTTAATGTTAGTGGTAATTATAGCTATAAGTGTTAATTGTATTCCGTAATTTACATGTCTTCTTAGGCCTATTGGATTTCTATGCTGAGCTTCACTTGCGCCTCAAACAATTTACATGCACAGTTTATTGTTATCTTTTTACAGGGTCTTCCCTCCATTCGCTATTCTCGTGTTATGTCCTTAGCTTCCTTAAAAGAGCGCCAACTAAGGTTGCTCCTCCCCTGCTTTAAAATCAACTCCATTCCCTCTACGCTGGCTCATCACATACAACTTATAGTCAATTTGTTTACCAATTATTCCCCGATTTTCTGTAGTTTTCAATAGTTCCTTCTTTTGATTTGCATTTCCTGTTTGGCTCTGACTTCAGATTAGTTGCTCATCCTGGCCCAGAGCTTAGCGTCAGAACCGCGTTCCGGATCCGAGATTGCGATCCTGGGCGATCAGGACATCCTCGCCATTTAGTTGATGGTGCAGCTCCTCCGGCACGGTCTTTAGCAGCTGTGGCTTACCCTAAAAAGACATCGAAAAGGGAAAATGAAAGTTGGATGAGACATTTTCTCGAGCAAAAAGCAAAAACCTTATTTGGCTCTGGGAATACCAGCAGACAGCTCTGAGGCAAGAGGCACTAAATAGCGCTGCTTTAAAATTAATGAGCCGCACATTATTTGAGTACTCGAAGCTATTACAAATTCAACTTTCCCGCCACTCTGGCCAACAAATTGTATCAGCAAAAACGCTACGTATGCGTAATATTTGGTTTTGCCAGAGTGGCATCAGAGCCAAGACAAAAACAAAAGTACGAAACCAACAAGTCTCCCAGGAATTTGCTGTGTTTTGGCCAAGTCCCCTGGGCCAACACGGCCAACAGTGTCGGTTTGGGCCGCCTTTTGGGAGTTGAGCGGGGAAAAAAACAGGGACAAGGACCACATCAGTGACAAACAAAAGGAGCAGCTCAAGAAAAAGGCAACACGAAAAAGTGGCAGCGAAGGCAAAGGAGGAATAAACATTGTGAATTCAGTCACTGCTGCTGATGATGAGGTTGTTCTTCTCGTTTTTTCCTCTTTCTCTTTCCCTATCTCTTTCTCTTTCTGTTTTTTTTTGTCTCCGCAGCTTCTGGTGGTCTTCTTCTTATTTGGGTCATAATAATTGCAATCATTAGAGTCAAAAGTTGCCACACCGCAGTGTCCTTTTGGCATGAAATTGTTGTAAAAACGTAATTCTTTTTGTGGAGCGAACATCAGCAGGGACAATGCAATGGCCGAAGCCTGTTGGCCTGTTAGCCTGTTCGCCGAGCACTAGGAAGAGGGCCAGAACGAACGCACTGCGCTGCGTCGGGTGTATACATAATGGCGTATTTATAAAGCAACTGACAGAGACAATGAATGGCAGGAGCAGGCCGAGAGAGCAGGACGCCCAGCAGCGGGGCTCTTTTTTATTATCCTGCAGCACATTCAGAGGTCATTTACCGCTTGGAACCCATCGGGAAATGCCGGCAAAGTGTTCACTCTCCTTCGCTGGGAGCCGAGTTTAAAGTTGCTAGTCTGCGGAGAGGGATCAAAGGTTATGGATTACCAGAAAATTGCACTGTCACGAGGATGGGTTCGACTTTGAGTCATCTGTTGATCGATGACGCACTGGGGGGGCTCTAATCGATTGAAGAAGTTTAATCCAGGAAAAAACTGAAATGGGGCACCGACAAAAAAAATGGGGCTTTTCCAACCCAAAACGGAGTTGTTTAGGCATACTCCACTTTGGTGTTAAGTATCTGAGCTGAAGCTGGCTCTTAATTTGGCTACCCCTTCGGCGAGTGAGTACAATCACTTGAACAGTTATCAGCCCAACCGCAAAAACCCATTTTCCGCCCCAGCGGCTACCATATATAAAGGGGGAGAAGGCGAAAACAAAATCGGGCACAAAAGATGCCCTCCAATTGGTGGGTGGTTGTTGGGGTGGGGGCCAAGATAAATGTTTCCTGCTAACGCCTCGTCCTCGTTCTTATGCCAAAAATCCTTGCCCCGAAAATCCACTTTGCATATTGATGCCTTCAACGTTTTGGACATTAGGCGAGTTGCCTTGGCGACCGGCTCGCTATCGACAAGGAGCAGCAAGGAGCAGCAAGGAGCAGCCAGGAACTGGGGAGTACATCAAACTGACACTTACCACATCGCTGCCATAAAGGCTCATGCCCATGCCGACGATGCTTCCGTTTCCGCCATTGGCCGCCGTCAACTGCTGCTGCTGCTGCTGTTGTTGTTGCTGTTGTTGCTGCTGCTGCTGCTGGGGATGGGGCACGGAGACCGGACCCGATACCGCTGCCGAAGATGTTGCCACGAGACCCATGCATGTCACCGGCTGCAGGAGGCCATCGCCGGTGGTCACCATGCTGTGGGTGAAGATGGGCGGCGGCGGCGTCGGCGAGAAGGTGGCCAATTGTGATGGATGCGACATGGTGACTCCGGTGATGGTGCTATTCGTGCCAAACATCGGGCTGGTCGAGTACATGGGCATGGGATGGTGTGCCAGATCGATCTGGCAGAGTGGGATAGAGTAGGTAATGAGGTTTTAGTCATGTGATGATTTATATGCTGCAAGTTAGTCACGAGTTTCGGCTGCTCTTCTACTGGGTTGAAACAAAAGTAATTGATGGATGGTGCGAGTAAATGATAATGTAGCTTCCAAACATGGTTTGTATTTACCCCGCGGAAACTTAATTCGATGTGTGTTTTGTTTATGTGTAACTTGATACGTCTAAGCCTCCCGTTCGGCGCCAATTATTGAAATCACTGCAGCAATCACTAATCCGAGGAAGCTTTAACCAATGTAATCTCGTATTTGAGTAACTTAATAGTCAAGAGCTCGAAATGGGAAACAAAATTTTAAAAATTGAAAATACAAATTAACTAAATTCAACTATCACTTTGGTGGTTTAGCCAGCACATTATTAGTATGATTAATTAAATAGGAAATAAGAGAAATCTGAAATCTAATATTGTTGATTTTTGCTCCGTGTAATTACACATAAATAGTGAGTCTGAGGAGTATGCCAGTGGCATACCCTTGTGCTAATATGTACGTGTGGTTGCCCACGCATATTGCAGCCATCGTGGACTCTGCGGTTCCACCGCTGCCACTCCCCGCATGACGTTGTTCCTGATAGTTAACAACGCGCCCGGCGTTTATTTAGCCAACATGGTTGCCATGGCGTACAAGAGGCTGGCTATGTGGTGAGCTACTACAATAATTGGCCCTTGGCTGGGTCGGCTATCTGCGTGGGTGTGTACATGCAGCATGTTTATATGCTTATTTCCGTAATTAACGTGTGTGCCTGGGCGAGGCATATTGACGTTGTTTTCTTAATGGGCTCAACGAGATTTTAATGAAATTAATTTTTAGCGCCGTGTTAACTTTAACTTGTGGTCTGATGTAGCAGAAGGAGTATGCAAAGTTTGCAAGATAGTAAGCTAAAGCAAAAGGTTTTAAGTCAACAAAAAATAGAACAAGGAAAAACAATACCCATGCAAAATCAAATCAAAAAGTTTGCCTGAACAATAAATAAAACCTAAGGGCTGAAATCAATGGCCCTCATTTTCACTAATAGAGAAAGGAATGTCGAGAGCCAATTGCATGTCGTGTAAAACTTTTCGATAGATGACAATAAAGCCAAACAATGTCATTAGGTGAAATGGTTGCCAGGACTGTGCTCATGCGGTGGGATTAATTGTTGTTTTTCACTTGTATTCCCAACGACCGAGTTTTCTCTAACACTACTGCTGTTTAAGTGCACTGGCTGCGTGTCCAGCACGAATGTATATCGATTCACCTACAGTTGGCCATAACTCAAGTCCCTTCAATTATTAAAAGGACTGAAAGCCAGCTGGAAAAACAAAGAGAACGAGTCTGGACTGACACAAGGTCCCGTTGGGAGTGTTCTACTAAATCGGAACATAACTTGTCTGCCAGGGCCAGACAAATTCGAAAAATGCTCTGCTGATGTGGGTGGCCGTTCCCTTCCCCTTCCATATCCATCAAATTTATAACTTTCACAGTCAGATTCTTTGCAAATCGGAGCTCAGCCCTTGTAGGTGCTCAATTTCTTGGCCAAATCCCATCAGATACTTTTTGGCGAGGGTATTCCTTGGTCATTATTTCACATCTGTCTGCATCTCCTTAAACCCGATTTGCGCAAAACTGAATTTTCAGCACTCTGTTTGCGTGCAGCTCGATTTGTTTGCCCTACGATGCGTATGCGTAATACTCAGAATTGCTTTCCGATGGAAGATAAATATTTTCCATGCAAGCACTGCATATTTTTATTGGAAGCGAGTTGGGCAGCTTTTTCCGAGGAAGAATGATAATTAATTTTAGTTGCCCAACGAAAGTTTGAAATTTAATTAAAAGCTTATAGCTTGCGCAAATCAAAAAGATAAAGAGTGAAATAAATTAAGTTTATTTAAAGCACAAAATAAATAACTAAAATCATAACAAACTTTTGAACTGCACTCTAAACTCGTGTCGCGTAGCCTTGAACGTAGAGATTGGCGGCGCCACCCACATTGTCGACCACTGCCCCTGCCACATAGCTGCTGCCGGAAGCGGTGGCCGCCTGCAGGTCGGCCAGAATCTCGTCGTCCATCATCACATTTACCTGCGAGTAGATGTTCGGCTCCGCCCGCTTAAGTTCCGCCTGCCTGCCCGGCCGACCCAAGGTCGCGCTGCAATAGGGGGCCATCCGCTGGACGCTCACCGGTCCGCCCACCAGCGGAGCGGCCAGTTCGCTGTAGCTGAGCTCAGTCTGTGAAAAAAATATAAAAATAAATGATATGTGTAAGGGTTAATTTAATTATTTCTGTAGGTTATTTCATATTTTCCTAGAATAGGATTTGAATAACACAGCATCGATGAAAAACAGATATTTTGGCTTGTAACAAAATAACTTACAGCTGGGGCTTAATTAGTAATTCAAACTGATAATTGCTAAATTGCCATCAAAATATTAATTGGAATATTTTCCTTTTAACTATAAATAGAATATAATTTGCTTATCTGAGAATTCCATTTCTGTCATACTTCACTCAAACTTTAAATAAGCTGCTAAAAATACTACAATTTGTTAGAAATTTCTTCCTCCAGGAAAGCTTGTTTAGTGAATGTCAACTGACAAAGCCAGAAGGTGTCATCGTTTAAGTTTTTGATTGCTTGCACAGGTTAAAGCCGATATTTACTACAATTCGCGAGGGGTTCCTGCCTGCTTTATGTCTGCTGTGCTGGTCTGTTTGTTTAGGCCAGACACCGCCCACATGCGGCGCCTGTTTGTAATGTGTCTGCTGCTTTCGGCCCTGCCCTTAGCAGCCATTTCCCCTCCTTCGCTTTTCCGCCGGCGAGGAGGAACACACTTGGCCGTTTATTGCATTTCGAGCTTGCAGGCGCAGTGGTTGAAGTAACAGGAGCAGGAGCAGCAGCCGGAGCAGCGGGTATAGAAACAGGATGCGCACATCCTTCGCCTCCTTAGCGGTTGCTGCTTCGCAGTTTCGAGTTGCGCTGGGTTCGCCAGCAACTTATTTTTATTAAATTCGCAAATGGAAAATTTATATTGCTGCAGCTGCTGCGGCTGCCTGTCGGTTCTCGCTTACTGGCTCCAACTTCCCTTTTGCAAAAAAAAGGGGCGTGGCCGCCACTGAGAAATTTCTACTTAAATGATTTTCAAATTATGTTGGTTTCCTCGCTTCTCCTACGACTGCAGATGATGCTCTTCTATTCCCATTTGAGCCATTGTTGTTCGCGTTTCTTTCGCCCGCGACCTTCAGGAGTTTTTCAAAGAAAAGTTCCTTTCCAGTTAGTTGGAAATATTTTTGTAATTCTTCAATGGCAGAGTTTGATAGTTTTGGGGCGAGTTTTAAATTGTTGCGGCTTCAGCTTGATTAACTTTCTGTTTGCTAAATTACCTGAGAAAGTTTTGGTAAAGTAAGATTGTTATATTTGGTCAAAGTTTTTAGCACTTATTGTTCTTGACCCTCATTAGCATTAATAAGAAATGAATTCCGTACAAATGACTCAATTAAAAAACTAATGTTTAATAAATAGGGTCTAAATTCTAAGATAGTTTTCTTTAAGCTTTGCTTTCCGATTTACATCCCCTATTTTATCAGTTTCCCAGGAGCCTAACTGCTGGCTATAAAGAACACTTAACCCGAAATATGTGTTTTGCTGTTGCCAAGTGAATAAATGGGGGAGACCATCACCTGACCAGTCCAAGGGTCGTAAATTAAGACCCAGACGGGGGCGACTCCGGCATATTGTAAAAGGTTTAGTGCCAAGTGGATTAGGGTGTCCATAACTCACCTTCTGTTGCGGCTGATGTTGGAGCTGCTGCTGCTGTTGATTGGCAAAAGCGCCCATTTTGCTAACGGGTATGAGTGTGTTGTACTGGATATAGGGGCCGTGGCCAGGAGGTGGACCTGTCTTCTTGTCCACCACAGCGTACGTGGGCATCAGGTGATCATAGGTTCCGGAGGTAATCACGGCATTCTGCTCGGCCAACGCTGCCGTCGCATAAGCGCGACCATGACCCTTGGTCGTCCACTCATCATCCAGGTCGTGTCCATCTGGTTATGAGGAACACCGAAAAGAGAGCAGTTTCGAATGCATTAAGGATTAGCCTTTCGAGGGGGAGAGGGGATGGGAAGCCACCTGTGGAAACTCACCCAACCCACCTTGCGGTATGATGTCCGGATTCTTGTCGATGCTGTCCAGGCTGCTCGTCACATGACATGTCTCCCGGCCGATGCGGTGCATATCCTGCACTGATTGCCCGCCATTGTGGCCCAGTGTGCCGATGACCAGGCTGCCATTGTTGTTGCTGGCCAGCAGGCCCAGACTGCCGTTCCCATTGGCCGTCGTGCCGCCCACTCCGCCGCCCACGCCGCCCACTCCGCTGCCGTTGCCGGTGGAGCCGGCCACGCCCACGCCACCGCTGCCCGGATGCGAGTAATTATTGCGATCGCGCCCCGAGGAGCCGCGCACACGCACCACAATCACAATGATGAGGGCCACCAGGAACACGCTGCCCACGATGCCGGCCAGAATGCCGAGGAACGGCCGGATGTCCTCGATGACCGGCGCATAGGCCAGCGAGAGGTCTGCGGGGAGAGGGTGAAATGGTTAACGGGTGAAGGGGTGGAAGGTTAAAAAAGGGAAACCGGAAAGAGACCAGAGATTCGAGGATAAGCATGTGCTTCTGCTTCTGCATTTACGTATGCCTGCCAGTACACAGAGAAAATAATCTTTCTTTTAGGTAAAATATTCTTAGAGCTAATAAATTTGATTTCTTAATACCAATAAAAAATATATAACAGATGAATAATATAAACAAATTTGTACAAGTAATTTAAGAGTTCAACGACTTACAAAAACAATCAAAATTTGTAAAATTTCAAAATTTTTGGTGATTTATTGAATATTTACTTACAGGTATGTGAATGATTTTTATGACTCGCATCTAGTTCTGATTATTTTGATATTTAAGTCAAATAAATTTACTTCAGATCATATCGCTTATAGCAAAATAATATTTAAAATTCTATTTTCTTTGATTACAAGTTTGCCTTTAATGAAAGGTTATAAGATAATTATTCTCGCAATTATGGGTCATACATCACTTTGCATTTTTCTCTGTGTACCCACTCTCGCCCTTTCTTTCTCTCTGTGCGACTGCATTGTTTTATGAGCTGCTAACTACGTTCCGTTCTTGGTCCAGTCTTCGGTCCTTTGGCTGTTATTACTGTTGTTGTTGTTTTTGTTTTTGTTGTCGGTGGCAGTTCCTGTCGCACGTGCCTTGAATTTAGTGCCGCTTTAATGAGCTGCATGTGTGTGGGTGCATGTGTATGTGTATGTGTATTTGTGCATATCTGCCAGCTGTAATCCGCCCCGTTGCCCCGCTTCTCTTGCTAATTTTAGTCTCAGTCCTGGTCGGCATGTCGAGAATTTTTAGTAGCCCAACGTAAAAAAAGAGGGAACAGGAAAATAAAACCATTCGGCATCCGGATTTATTTGTGCTGTTTTATGGGGACATGGTGTCGTGAAAATGTTAAAGGCAGTTTATGGTGCTATAAAACCAAATAATATTAAATGAGAATTAGTCACAACAAATTATAAGCTAAATAATGGCTAAACCAAACTGTTAAAAACAAAACGAAACCAAAGTAAACATATAAATAATTCTAACTAAGTCTACATAAAATATAAGCAAACAAATTGTAAAATTATAAATTGTACCGAATATTACAATAAATTAACAAAATGTAATCAAAACAATAACATATTAACTGAAAACAAGACCATGTTAGGTGTTAAAAACTAAACTGGTGTAACAGTTAAATAAGGCATTGAAAATTAATAGAAAATAATAGAAAAGGAGAGTCCACCGCTACCTTCTTGCTGGTCAATGTCTGTGCCCTCGTCGTGGCTAATTCCCTTGCCCAAGTTCAGAAACTCGTCCTCATCGCAAACGCAGTCGCTGGTCGTGGTCGTTGCGGCCTTTGATTTAGGATAGGCAGGCCTAAGTCCTTGGAAGGACTTTGTGAATGTTATTTTAACTAAAAGAAAGCGTGCAGTTGAAACAAGGCGACAAGAAGGAAAAAAAGAGCCCAAAAAGAAAGAGAAACCATGTTAGCAGAACTTAAAGCAAATTAAAAGACAAATGAAGCAGCTGTAAATGCAGGGCCTCGCCAATTAATTTATAGGCAGATTGCAAGGACTCGGACCAGGACATGCATGAAATTGCAAACGCACAGGGAGAAAGAGATGGCGATAGAGGCAGATAGAGGGAAAGAGAGAGGACAACCCGCATTTCTGGAACATTGCTTGGGGTTCCACTTCTGGGGACTCCCCTGTGATTAAACTCACCCGTTTGTTTCTCCGGGTCCTTCAGCGTGTAGACCTGCACAATGGTGGCATTGCTTCGTCCTTTGGTGTTGCTGGCGACGAGGAAGACATTGTAGGCCATGCCCGGCACCAGACCGCTCACCTCAAAGTACGGTCGCCTGTAACGAAGTTGAATCGATTTTTGAATGTCCAAATCAAGAAAGGGAAAACCGCAAAAAAGGCCAGAGCAAAAAGCAGGACAAATGGGTTTCTCGCCGAAGGAGCACCAGCTGCCCTGCTGCCCAGGATATTCGCATGGACATCGACATGTAGCCATGGCCATGCGTCCCATTCGATGCCGATTCCGATGCCCGATTCGATGCCCGATGCTCGATGCCGATGCCACGGCTCGTTGGACTTGTTGTAATGCAGAAGTCACACGGCGTGTGATTCTGATTGCTCAATGCCCATTCCGCTTTTTCTTGCTCGGCAACTCGAGTTCGTCTGTACTCACTTTGATTTTGAAATTTTGGAATTGCGTTTCGTTCCGTTCAAGTAAACCTCCATTATAAAGTCCTGCTCCAGTCCGCCGTCGAATCCTTCGATGCATTCGATTTGGAATCCCGTCGATGTCTGGTTGAGCACCGTGCAGTTCATCAATGGATCCGGTTGGCCTGTGGGCAAAAGGAACATCGCCAGTGGCGGTGGAACATTTATTATGCCGGCTTAGGGACAGATCAAGCAACAAATTTTCCGGACCCAGAGCATTTGTCTATGGCTTTTGCACGTTCGTATTTCGCCTGCCGGATAGCTTCAAAATCAATAAGCTAACTGGCAGCGCAAGTTTGACTAATCCAGCAGCCAGAAAAGCAAAGCGCCAAAGTGCCAAAGTCATCGACAAATCAGCGCAGCGGGACTTTGCAAAACCCAAAACAAAACATAAACAAAACCGCTGAAAGCTAAGCTCTTTCCCTTGAATAAATATTCAGATGATGGAGCTGCAGATACCTTGTAAATACAAAATATTCTCAACAATTTTGATCACTCTTCGAAGGACAGTTTTTACAATCTTTTCAAAATTTTAAGTTTTGTGTGTGTCTTGAGTGCAGATTTCAAACTGTTTAATGCATTACTAAATATAGATGAGCCATTTAAAATTTAATAGCATGAAACTAAGCACCATCAAAATGTTGAAATATGTATTTTATTTTATTTTGAACTTGTAATATCTAATTCTTATGTATTTCTGCATCATTTGAAATGGGTTATATAGGTAAAACTCATATCGACTCTAAACTAAGATCCCAATAATTCTAGTCTGCTCTGAAAGGCCTGAAATGAAGCCAAAACTGCCGGCACGCGAGTTTCCGGAGCAGTGGCACCACCACATGGCCCCACTGACAGGTGAATCACGCCCCCACCCCCATTTCCGCCCACTTCCCCGATTGCTACTCACCTGCCGGGAGTATTGTGTACACGCAGGGTTCACTTTGATCGCCAATTTCGTTGGTGGCCCAGCAGAGCAGCGTTCCGTAGTCCTGGCAATGTAAAGAAGGAATCGCAAACAGGCGCATCAGAATGAGAATGAGTAAGGGAAGGAGTTGGGGAGGAGAAGGGGGAGGTTGTGGAGGAGTGGAGGATTGAAGTGGCAGAAGGACCATGGTGGAGGAATAAAAGGGCCGGGTTGAGTGACAATGCATTTCGCTGGCTTAATTTATGCATGCACTGCGGCGATGGCGACGCCGTTGGCGACACACCTTTTCAACCTTAATTGAAAATTCAAAACCGCAACTCGTTTGGAAAATTATGTGCTGGCCCCTCAAGGGCGTGCCACACGGACTGATTTATATGACCTCCAGTGGAGCACCGAGGGGTTTAAGGGAATGGCAATCGGAAATCGCAATGGGAAAGGGTTTCTGGGAGAGGGAGTGGAAGTGGCAGTGGAATACTTACATTCTCCGTCATCGGGGTGTAATGGGCAATACTGCGACCCCGGTCAATGGCCACCTGCGAGGCTGGTATGTCAATCGTTTCGCCCTGGGTCGCATTGAATTTCCAAACGTAGGTCGCCTCCGCGGGATTGGCATCGATTTCGCAGGCCACCTTGACGGTTTCGTGTCGGCCGGAGCTGTAAGTTAACCGCTGGCGAGGTCGACAAACCGGTGCAACTGCAAAGAGAACGAGAGAATCAAGTTGGCAACATCTGCATAATTAAAGAATAACATTCAGCCTGGGGAGCACTTTAAGCGTCTAGCAGCTCCTGCTATTTCCCATTAAATATTTAAAGAAATGCTAGCCATTGTCGGCCCGTTGCGTTTGTGGTTGCATTGTTGCTGCTTAATTGATTTATTTGTCTGATTTACGGGAAAAATTCAATTTGTGTCTGGCAGGATAAGTCGCACACAGGGACGGACGGCAGGACACTCGTCCTGCTGAGCCCTGGCGTAATTGCATTGTGTAACGTGTTAGTTACAAATTGCAATCGAAAGATCCAATTCGTTTTAATTAAGCTGTTATGTAAATTAACACAATGCAGACTAAGGCAAGGACCTGTGGAAGGACTTGTAGAATTACTCACATCGAATGTCCAGCTGGACGGGATTGCTCTCGCCGTCGCCCTCCCGATTGCTGCCCACACAGGTGTAGATGCCACTCCTCGCCCGGCTGGCGTTCTGGAGCACCAGACTCTGGTTGGAGACGGCGATGCCTTCGGCGGGATTGTTGGACAGGATCTCGCCCTGAAATCGAAAGCAGAAGGCCGAAAGTGAAACGCAAATTGAAATTCTCAAATACCAAAAATACCCCCAATACAAATTCCGCCCAAACGTGTGGCGTAATAATTTATTGAATCGAATTCAATTTACCGATAACTGCTAAATTGAAATAAATTTAATTTCTCAGAGCTAATAACACTTTTATGTTGCCGTGCGTTGCCACATTGCGCATACGCCCCGCAGGCCGGAAGGCGGGACTGCTGATTGAAGACCCGGTGGCTGCATAAATTAGGCTCGGGCTGCATAAATTGTTAAGTGCTCTCACAGCCCGGTAATTCAATAATAAATTTTCCTACGCCTCTCCACTCGCTTTACCAATTTCTATGTGTGTGGCGTAGAGAATTTCATTTTTTGCCCTTCGGCAGCCCTAAAATATGCAACAATTATGCGCTCCATCTCGGCCGGAGTTTTGGCTTTCGATCCATCGCCACAGGCTAATGTATGTATGGTATATAATGAAAATAATAATAATAATAATAATAATAATAATGTTGATGATACGTGTTCCTCTTAAGCGGTTTGTACTTTGCTGCTGTTGAAAGTGCCCCAAGTCGAAATAAATTAGCTGCGAGTTTGCCGAGGCAGTGAAGTATTCTAAATATTCCTTTCAAAGCGGGATGCGCAAAGCGTGTAAAATGGCATCTGACTGTCACTTACATTGTGCCGCCAGCTAACTTTGTATATCCAGGGATTCGATTTGATGTTGCACTCGAAGAACACGTCGATTCCCTCGCGCAGAGTGGAGTTCAGTGAATTGGTGCCCAGCTCCAGACTCACAACCGGAATGTCTGCAAATGGAATAGAAGTCATTATGTGTGGCATTAGGAATAAGGCGAAAAAAACAGACTTAGCTGCCATGGCATCGGGGCAGCTAATTACTTTAAATCGCCAGCCCAGACAAATAATAAAGCTGGCAGGCAAATAAAATGCCAGAAGCGCAGGCCAAAGGTGTAATTACTGTGTAAGCCGCACAAATTAGCCAATTTAAGTTGTTGAAATGCTCAGCTTCCCTTCCACTCAACTCTCTCCTTCTCCATTTTTTTGCTTTTGGCCTGTTTTTGTTTGTTTATTATTATGCTTTTTTGTTTTGGCCAACTTGGCAATTAGGCCTTCAAATGTTGTTTTGCCGGCTGAGAAAGGGAAGCCAATGGGGTAACTGAGCAACATTTTAACTTGATTAATTCAAAATTGGCTCGCGAATGCGAATCAATTAAGCTTATTAAGCAATCTATCAAATTGGGCAAACAGTGCCCCCGCACCAAAAGCGCCGGCGAATGAACCAGATATTTCAATCGAATCGAGTTCGCCGGTGGGGCGATGAACAAAAAAGAGGAAAAGTTAAAAGGTAAGCAACAAAACCGCACTTCCAAGGCAAACAGGAAGCGCTCCTCCTCCTCCTCCTGCTCCTCCTACATTTTTTTGCGGTTCGAGGGGGTTTTGCCATTTAAATTTTGTGCAAACAGGTCGAAAACTGTAAAAGCGTAAAGATGACTTTGCAGGCGGCGTTGGCGGCGCTGCTTGCGGTGCTTGTGGCGGGTTAAAAAGTTTCGCAAGTTTTGTGCAAAAGTTTCACCGGCCGCCGCTGGAAATTAATTTGCCAAAACTTGCGCAGCTGAGGAGAATCGAAGAAAAATATGGAGCAGTCAGGAAAAGGGCGGGAAAGGGACCAAAAAGGACCCAATGCAGCAATTTCTTACACAGTTCTTAAAGTCGCTCGGCGACTTTGTGCTTTCGGTTTCATTAAAAACTTCGTCTGGCCGAATTAAATATTAAGCAGGACATGCGGGCAAACAGAAACTCACGATAGATGTCCAACTTCCAGCCATCCTCCATTCCGGATTCGGGTATCATGCTCTGCTCCGCGCGGCACGAGAGGAACTTGCCGCGGTCATCGATGGTGGGCGTGAATGTCAGCACCGAGGTGGTCATGTTCCCATCCGGATTCGCCTAAATAACAGGAGATGGGCGCAGAACAGAGCAAACAGTTAACGACTGTACTGAAGACAAAGGAAACGGAAAGGGGGAGGGGGAAGGGGAAAGGGAAAGGGCAACGGCAAATGTAAAGGAAAAGGAAAAAGGGTTGGCACGTCCTTCGGCGCAGATAGGGGGTGGCTTTTAATTGGGGCCCTCGCTACGTGACTGCCGTTCGAGCAACTTCAATTACCACAAAGCATGTGTACTGCTCTCGGTGGGTAGTGGAAATCGTACTCTGGGGCAGCCATTAACAAGGATGACAGCCATTCGAAATTTGCATGTTTATAAACATTTTGTCAAGGGTAGCAGTGGGGTAATATCGACCATGAGGTATTAGGTATTATTGTGTTAAATAAATATCTTAGATTTATATAATCTCTAATTGTTGATTTGATTTCAGTTCGGTTGGGTAAGATTTGTTATTTTTTACTGGTTTCCATTAAGATCTTAAATTTGGTTAGAGTATCAAATATTTATTTAATTTAATCATATGACTACAGAAAAGATAATAATCCTCTTTAAATTAGTTGAGCCCTAAAAGAGTTCAGAGCTCTAATAATTGTATACAAAATTGTTAGTTCTTTAACGGACTTAGAAATGAGTATAAGGAAATCATTTAGTCAACTTTATTGGAAAATAAATCACAGAGCACTTTTTAATTTGCTGCAAACCTATTGTTTGTGAAGGGATATTCTTATAAAGGGAATGCCAATCAGGATTTTTCAACGGAACCCTCGCTAGTCGAGCTTCCCCCGATTTCGCTTGACTTCCACTTACAATCTCATGAGTATTCTTCATGGGGGTACTGCCCTTCCACCAGGTAATCGTCGGCGCTGGACGTGCTCCGATGACAACGCAGCTGAGCTGATAAGAATTCCCCGCCGACAAGGGTCGATTCTCCCCCTGCAGCTTGACAATCAAAGGACGCACTGTGGAGGCGATAGAATTTAATTAGTTAGGCTTTGGCAATCCCAGCAGAAGCTGCAGAAGTTCATGCTACTCATGGTACTCTGGCACTCACGGTTCATGTCGAGGACGACGCTGCTGATAATTGGCGTTGTCAAATTATTGTTCTCCGCCCGGCACGTTAGCTGCATGTGGAGATTCCTTCGCTCCAGGCGCTGCAGGGACAGAACATTGGCCACCCGCCTCTCGGACAGGGAGTGGCCCACACTGGCGTCCTTGTAGACGGTGTTGCCGTGCAGCCAGGTGACCCTCGGCTGGGGGCGTCCTGCAAAGGATATATACCGAGGGACAAGAAAAAGAATTATCGAGATTGCGGCGAGAGTGTGGGGGAACGTGTGTGTGTGTGTGTGTGTGTGAGGGTGTGGTTGTGCAACTGATATGTTTGCCGTGCGGCTTAAACTTGGAGTTGTCTCTGCGTTTAGCTGGCAGCGTTTTAGCCGGTCTTCTGTTTGTTTATGTGCTCACAAGGAGTGCAAGGAGTGGATGAGTGTCTTTCTCTGGCCACACACACATACGTATATATCTATATATGATATGGGTGTGGGATCGGCGTGTGTGTACAAGTGCCTTTCGCTGTTTCATTTGTTGTCTTGTTTGGCTTTTAGCAATTTTCAAGTGCTCTCAATGCAATTTGTGTGGGCATTGTGTGCGGTGGAGCTGCTCGATTGTCTGCACGTTGGTTTGGTTTGCAGCTCCAACTCGAGCTGGAGCTCGATTTCGAGTTCGTGCAGTCGACAGCCGGGTGGAAATTAAATAAAATGTGAAAATCTTTCGCCTGCATTTTCACGCTCATCACTTTTAATTGTCAGACACAAGCAGCAGCGTCAACACTTTTGCCCACACACACACACACACACACATACACTCTGAAAAGTGGGTGGGGAAAAAAGGAGGGCAAGGACTTACCGCCGATGGCCACGCACGTGATGTTGATGCCGGAGCCCTCGTTGTAGGGACCCAGCGTGTGATCCTTGATGGTGGCCCCCTTGCTGTCCAATATAATCACTGATTCGGGCGGAACTGGAAAACGAAAAAAAGAGCTCTTCAATATAGTATAGATAATGGAAATCAAAGACCCGGCGAGATAATGAAAACCAAAGACCCCGCAAGCTGGTTAAATTGCAGTTTCCGGAATGCCAAATGCCTGCAACATAACCACCTTTCGATACGCACTTAGATCCTGAACTGTCAACTCAAAACTTGGCCAGCAAGCTCCTTAAGAGCTCGGCTTTCAAGGCTTCAAGGAGCCGCTTACTCTGTTGCCACTTGGGAAAGTGAAAAAATGAGAGAAATAGAAATGGGAAACGCTCGAACAGGTGCAGTCAAAGTTCACCAAAGAGAGTCTTAATTTCTTTTCTATTTTCTTAAATTTTACCTACTCTGTTTTCCCCCTTCATTGTTTCGAGTTCCGTTTTCTTAAGGGCGCTTTTTTCTTATTATTTTTGGATATATGTGGGCGGGTGGTGGCCACTTGGCCAACTATTTTGAGCTGGTCCCCAAACCCCATTATCATCGCTTTGCTGGCGAATTTGCTTGGCCCGATCAAGTCCTGGGAATTTCCCCTCCCTCGTCGCGTATTAGCAGCAGCGGCAAGTTGTCCAAACTGTCCACCCCGGACTGGGGCAACTTTTAATCTAATATCTTCTTTAAAGTTTTACCCTCCGTTCTTTTTCCCTTTTGCCATATTCCAACCGACGTACAAAGTTCTAAATCCTGCCTTGGTTTTACGCTTCACATGTCACAGACAAACACACACACACTAACATAATCACACACACATACAGCAGCATGTTGAACATGCTCAAGAAGTTTGTAAAACAGGGCCACGCCCCTTTTTACGCCCTTTGCGCTCCATCTGGCAGCAGCGACGTCGGCAGCAACTATTTACCAACAATATTCGGCCAGGCCAACTCTGCCGGCCATATATTTCAGCTAAACGCCTTTGGAAACGCATATAAATTTTAATGGTAAATTGCAAGCTGTGGCCGCCTCAATGCACAGGTATCAAATTCCTTTCCCCTCAAGAGGGGAGCCCAAAAAAACAAGACCCAAATTGCAACTGGAAACGGGAAAAGGCGAAAAACAGAATACGCTTCGGGTTCTGGATAATCCAGTTGGAGTTTCGATCAGAAGGATTTGCAGAAAATAGTTCAGATTCCTATTCCGTAATATTATTTCTGTAAAAATAATTTTGGCTTTATTTAAAGTTAAATCAAATCCTAGTGAAATAAATTGTCTAGTCCCCTCCTAATTGTGAATAATAATACAAACATTGTTCCTATTCCTACTAAGCTTCCAAAATGTTATAAAAGATTTCCAAGTTAAATATTTGAGCGTAATATTTTTCCCAAAAGAAAATCCCGTTAAGCTTCTATTGAAAATTCAAACATTTCCATCGCATACTCTTGCCCAATTCCAATTTGAAATCCATTTAAATTGCAAGGAATTCAATTCAGAACTTGCACCCTGCACTTGCCACCCGCTTGGCATTTTCCAGTTTTTCCTCGCACAGCTTTAACCAGCCACGTTTAAACTTCTCGCCAAGTTGGCACTTTAAAATCTGTTTGCCAAGTTAAGAGCTGCGAAAGGAAAGGCAGTGGCTAAAAATAAGGGAAAAGTTGGCAACCCGAACATATAGTTGGCGTCTTATTCTGTAACTAATGTGTTTGTCCAAGAGCTGAGTGCCGTGGTTGGCCAGGCCAAAAGCGGAGTTGAGTTGAGTTGCGTTCAGTTGAGTTGGGGAGAAAGGAGCCAGGAGCCAGGACGAAGACCTACAGGATATGTCGCTGCACAAATTAGCTGCTCAATTATGCTGCCCCGCACAATGTGGGCAAACAGAAAAGGGAAAAAGCAGCCAAGAGCCAGGAACCAGGAGGAGGATCAAGGAGCAGGGAGAGTAGCTCAATACTTACTTATGACAGTTAAATTCACTTTGGAGTTGCGCGTCGGACTCTTCTGGAAGTCGACGCGGCAGCGGTACTCGCCGGTATCGTCCTCCGTGGTTGACTTGATGGTCAGCGTGCCGGCACGTCCTTCCACGTGGAAGGAGAGGCGCTCCCGATAGGTCTCATCCGACCAGTGGGTTCCCTGGGCGAAGTTCGAGTCGCGTGTGTCCACGCTGCAACGATAAGAGCAACGATAAGAGCAACGAAAATCAAGAATTGCACTTGAAAAATATTTCTTAAAAATAATAGGTTACGATTGTAACAGTTATGATGCAATTTATACTTTATGATTAAGTTTTATTTAGGTTCCATGCTTCTAGTTGTTATCGAATATTTATGTATACATTTACATTAATATTATTATTTTTATTAATTCCATGTGTAACGTTTAAAAATCTCTTGGGAGTTGAGAGCTTATTATTGTATTATACTACCCTTCATAAAAATAACACTGCTTTCAGGAATGTTTTCTGAACCTCCCGCATTTTCTCATTCTCGCAGTGTGGAAACGCGAAAATGAAAAGAATTTGTGTGTATCAACCCGAGCCAAAGGAAAACAAAAGTCGCCCTACTCCCATTACTTGCTCACGCCATGTTGAAAGTTTTTTATTATCGCCAACAGCGTAATTGGGTTCTGCAATGAATTAATAATACTCGCCCGCCCACTTCGTTGTAATTTATTGTTTTCGCTTGAAATTCCCGATTATTGATTATTTTATTCTGGCGAACGAGCGCCGTAACGAGCTCATTTTGGTGGTCAATCAATGGTCTTAAAGTGTCCGCTCTGCCTTTCCAGCTAGCAGCATTTGGCAGAGTTGGGTTTTAAAAAAAGTTTTTGAGCCACTTTTGCCGCGGAGAAAGGGCGGCGCCTGATTTAGGTCAACATTTAGCCAAGTGGCGAAGTTAATTGGGTTTAAAGCTCTTCGCTCGGCATTCTTCGCCAGAGGAAACTGGCAACACATAGTTAATTATGCACAACTCGGCGTAATATTCTATTTTGGCGAGCCTTTAAGTGGGCGAAAGCGTTTTTAATTGCGATCCTGGGTAATCCGCGCCCAAGGGAGCTAGGTTCGAAAGCATATTTGAGTGCTTTCGCTCGCTGATACGCTACAACCTATGAATTAAGCATTCAATTCCCGGCCCAAGGGCTTTCGATTTGGCAACCCAGTTGGCATTCGAGTTTCAGCCCGGCAAATGCCACCCAAACTAGATCGACAAGCAATGGTTGTTCGGGCTGCAAAGCAGATACTTTAACTGCCACAAATTCGCCATAAATCCACTTTGCGCATGAGTCGATCTTAACTGCATCTCCATATGTCTTCTGCCAGCCGACAGCCTTTGACAGCTTCTCGGATTGCTAGCCTGTGTTTTATTGCATTTCAATTTTGATTTGCTCGCAACATATGGCGCCCTCGAACCTCGAACCTCCAGCTGGGCGGTCCGGATAATGAGGTTCTGCTCGAAAACCTGACGCTGAAGCATCACATGTCAGCTGGGCAATAAAAACTCAATGGCGAACTGCGGAATTGAGTTGTCGGTGGTGTTGGATGGAAATTAAATTTTTCACCATTGGGCGTGGCGTGGGGTGGCGTGGTTTGCTCTGGCCAACGGTTTCTTTTTATGATTAATTTACTTGCTGAGTGGTTTTTAATTACAAACAAGAGTTGAGCTCAGCTCGCCGGAGCCCTTTCTTCTGGCGGTCGTTATGCAACGCTAATTCCTACTTTCGCTCGAGTCATTTGCAAGTCCTTGAAGTGCCCGAAGTTCAATTAGTTTTCGGCCGCATGTCAATGGACGGCCAGCTGGCTGTTTGGCTCTCTAGCTGTTTTGGCTGTTCGGCTGCTTGGCTGCCTGGCAATCAGCTAATCACCAAAGCGCACATTGGCACACAAACTCACATGCGGCCAAAACAGTCGGACCAATCCAATTAAAGTTTCACGCCTTTGATGTAGTCGTGTATCTGCGAGATACAAGATACTAGAGGCCAACGAGAGCAACCACTGCGACATGATGTTAGACATGAATAATTGAAAAAGTTTTTGCTGCCGAATGTAACCTTGGAGCGAGCTGCTTTTCCAGCAGCAGCAGCAGAGAAAGTTTTCCCTATTTTCGGGTGCTACTCCCCCACCGACTCACTGCGAATAATTCTCTAGTTATGCTAATTTCAAGTCTGCAGGCTGAGCTGCCAGCTCCCCCTAGGAAAAAATTGCCTAATTAGTCACCATTAAATCAGAGTGAAAACTCCTCGCAAATACCGAAAACTGACATGTGCAGATCTCCGCATTTCCCCTGCCACGCCCCTCCATTTCCACTCCCACTTCCACTTCCATTCCGATTCCACTTTCCCGTTCGCGCCTCCCGCTTTTCCGATTCGATTTCCCGCCTCATCTGTCGGCCGTGTTTTTGTTTGTGTTGGCTGAGTGGCCGAGCGGGTTGAGTGCGTCAAAAGTTGTCTGCGGTAATCAATTTTGTTTATTTATGGACCCGTGCGTGCCAACGTGTCTGTCTGAGTGTGTGTGGTCGAAATGTTTGCGGTCAGGTGGGTCTGCGGCCTGTGGCTCTGCATTTGACACCGGGGCTTAAAGATTTAAGAGCGCCTCGGAAAAGCAAAACAAAAAAAAACAAAAAAAATAAAAATGAATGTGTCACTCAAACTTGTCGGCCTGCTTTGAATTCGGTCGCCCAGCTGCTGCATTCGGTTGATTGAAAGGCGGTAGAAGAGACTCACCTGTAAATGGGCGTCTTCAGGCCAACCTTGTACCAGATGACCAGAGCCACTCGATCCTCGTAAATGGGCGGGGTGACGTTGCAGGGCAGTCGGCCAACCGTTCCCATTATGGACTCGGATAGCACGGGCGGACCTGCAAAAAAGTTGAGTGATTAGGTTGTGTGCGAAAAAACAGTACTGGAAAAAATTCACTTCAGGTGGGGATTAAGCCATTAAGGAGAAAACCTTTTTCAGTTGCATTAAACACAATGAAAATGTAGTCATTAATGATTAACTAACTAGTTCCCACAGAATATTCTCTTTATCATTGACCATACAATTTGATTGCATCTATTTAATTTGCAATAACTATTCAGTACCACCACAAACAGACTTAAGTTTCAGACCTTTAAAACAGAATTAATAAGCTGAGGCCAGAATACAAAATGTCACAGAAAAAGGAATTTATCAAAAGATTTTTTCCGAATGCAAGGCGGAAGAGGAAGGAATCAGCAGGAGCTGCACGGAAGTGGCTGCAGAATATAAAAAAACTGGCTAACAAATGATGTATAATTAGCCGAGGGCATTAGCACTTTGTTATTGGGCCAGACCCCCAAAAAGCCAAGTTGCGGGGAGCGTGCTGCGATCTTTCGCCTGGGCCAACTAATAATGCTATAAATAAAAGCCGAGAGACTGGCCAAAAAGCGAGGGGGCGGGGGAGGGGAAAAGGCGGCAAGATAAAAGTGACGTAATGGGCGCGACGTCTTCATCGCTGTCCTGCGCCTTTTCTTTCTTTCGTCCTCTCGCATTAAAGTGAAATTAGCGAGCAAATCCTTTTTTTATGCTAATTTCGTCCGGCTTTCAAGACGGGATTGTTCTTCCTCATTTCACCGCCTTCCCTTATTTTGCTGCCTTCTTTTTGTTTTTGTTTTTTTTTTTATGCTATGTGCTACTTTTGCAGCCATTTTTTGAGTTATGTCCTTTGGCTTGGCTTATTTTCCGAGTCCTTGCTCTTAACAATTTCCCTTTTGCCTCGGCATTTATTTGTGTTATTTTTGGCCTGCACTTAAGATTCGTTTGCCTTTTCATTATTCGCAGTTGCTTTGTTCGCTCATATTTTGCCGCCTTTGTTTAAAGCGCAGAATAGGAAAGCGAGAGATTACTGTTTGAAGTTGACATTAATTTCGGGACTCCTTGCCTGCTCAAGCTTATTTCAGATCCGGCCTTTTGCAACAACCGGATTCCTCTCTTTACGTATTTTGGTCTGATTTTAATTTAAATTTTATAAGATTGGACCGAGGTTTGTCTAATTTCTCCGTTCAGAATTCCCGGAGAGTTTTCTTTGCTGAAAAAGTTTGCTAGCCCTTTTTTTTTTTTGGTCTACCCACGAGTTTTGACCAGGCTCGGTCCCTCGTCACGGAATTCCGCCGTTGTTTGTATCTCATTTAAATTCACTTGTTAACTCATTTGCATTTCGTAGGCTCAGCACTTTTGCGTGGCCCAAACAAAGTTATTACAGTTTGTTGGCCAGTTTTCCCCATTGCACTGGCCGCAAGAGATGATTTAATTGCGAACCCAACTCACAACTCAGTCAACTGCAGGCGGCGCACATTGCTCATACGCAGCGTGGCCGCAGCGGAATTAGTTGCTAATCAGCTGGGCAACAATAAAAAAAAGGACCAGGCTGCGCGAGTCATGACGGGTCGGTAGCGATAATGCAATGCATAATTTATAATGATTATAAATGGTTTTTGCCGCCTGACTTTCGATTCTGAATACCAAAAGGAAGCGAAGGGAAGGAAGGGAAAGGGAAAGGTCACCCCACAGAGTCGTTTAAAATGTGATGTTGTCTAAGCCGGAAATCGCCGGGCTCCCCAGTTCTTTCCGCCTGGATTCGACATGGCCCGGGCCTGGCTGCCGCCATGTTTCGATTTTTCGCTCATTTCATATGCAAATATGTTCGATTTGCCATTACGGAGCGGAGCGGAGCGAAAACCAGTGCCGAAGAACGAGGGCAACCGCAATAATAACAATGCCAATGATGGTAACGATGATGACGTCGCCCGTACACACACACATACACAGGCACACCCGCACACCCATACTTGTGTAGCTGTGTAGGGCAACTCACAGAATTTACATTATCCTTGTGCTGAGTTAAACGAAACGCCGGCATTGGCAAAACATTTAATTATAGCAATTAGCTAATTAGAGATTTTCGCTTGAACCGAACGCATTTTCCTCCCTCTTTTGCCAGCCACAACCAAAATCAATCGTAAAATAGCCAAATGCTGTGCGTGGTTCAAAGCCGAAATTTGGCATTTTGGCCACGTTTGTCCACTTGTGCTGATTTGTTTTCGGGCCACGGGCTTGAATAATGCAAAGTGTTCGTTCGGCTAAATTGCAACCTAGTTGCTGCAAAGTTGCTCTACTTTGATTTCGTTTAGTGAAACTCTTTTCCCGCGTCGCCCGGAACTATAAAAATGCCATCAACATTAATTGCCACAACACGGCGGCCATTAAAATGGTTTGGCTAAACAATTTTTAGTGGCCTGCCAATATTCAGCAGAAGAGCTAAAATTCTAGCGTGAGTTGGATCATTAGCTTTCCCACGTACAAACCGGAAACGCATTAAACGCGCGCGTGTGTGTGTGTGTGTGTCTGTCCGTATTCTGTGGCAAATTAATTGCACATAAAATTATAACTCAACACACTTGAAACTGACAAGCGACAAGGTGACTTTTCCCCCCCATTTCCCATTTCCCGGCCAATTTAATGGCATATCCAGATGCCAGAATGCCAGGCGGAAAGTCGTAAAAACCCAACGGTAGCTGCGTGCGTGTATGTGTGTGTGTGTGTGTGTGTGTGAGTGCTCAGCAGCTTCCATTAATTAAAAGCAATGTGTTGATTTCTTATTCCTTGCCGGCTTCCCTTTTGCGGAACTTGTTGGCCTCTTGGTCCTTGACAATTGGCATTTTGTTTTGACTCGCAGCGCATTTATTGCCAATTATTTTTATGGCCCAAAGGCAACAAGGCGAAAGGTGTGCAAATAAATGAAGTTAAAGTTATTTTAGTACTGCATGTTCGAGCTACCTTTTTTGCACTAAAATGGAAAATAAAATTTGAAATTTATGTAATAATTACATTTACCATAATTCCTCAAAGGCTTTGTAAATATTAAACCAATTATTTGATGATTCAAACGAATTCGATTTTTCCAATTAATAGGTATATTTGATTATAAAGGCACGTTTTTCATAAATATTCCACAAATTCTCAAATTACAAGCGCACGCGGTGAATTAAGGAAAATGTTTGTTTTTTCCGACAGTTGACATTTGAAACTCCTGCTACGAAGCAAGTTATAAAAAATTCCTCTTTGCAAGGACTAGAAAAAATATGCGTTTAATGCGATAAAGCAGTATAATTAATTTTCCTATTAAATGCCATTAAATTCAATTAATTTCATAGGCAGTGGCAAAGTAGTTTGACCGCAGCAGAAATAAACAAACTTTTTTCAACATTAAAGAGCGGGGAAGGCAAACAGCAGAAGGATAAAAAAAATGAGAATATTCAAATGCCAAACTAAAGGAATTCCAACTTAAATATGACGATGGCAACCAGCTAGCAAAAGAATCTGGCAAAAATTATTATGCAAATTTGCTTTCATATTAGTGGCATTTGCTCCGCTCGGCTCCACTGACGACGGAAAGGAAGACGGCAAGGCGGAAAAAAATATAGAATCTGCGAATCGAGACGTGGCAGGGGCCAAACTCAGTTGACAACGGCAACATTTGCTGATTTGGCAAAAATATGCACAGAGCATGGAACCGAGGGGACAGAAGGGGGAATGTGGGGGCAGCGCAATGACATTGCCGGAAACTCCTGCCAAGAAATTGGCAGCCAAATTTAAATAAAACTCTTGTCAATATTTGCAAGAGAGAGCGAGCAGAGCGAGTGCGACTCAATATGAGTAACAAAAATGTTGTTTCGAATAAGTGCAAACATTTGCATAATTTGCTAAAATCATGGAGCCATCAAATAAAATAAGCGTGACAGCTTTAACCCCATTTTATTGGATTTGGGGTTTGGTTAGCTGCCGGCAAAAGGGTTCAGCTTACCGTAAATTTGGCTAACTGCAAATCATTTTGAAGGCCATTTCGAAGGCACGTTAACGGCAACGGCACCGTTTGGGGCAGTAATTAAAAATTAAATAAAAATCAAATAAAAATCAAATAAAAATTTCCAAATACAATTGAAGCGAATCGGAGTGGAGTGCTCAAGCCCGAGCTCAAGATGGAAGCAAATTTCAGTCACAATTAAATTAAATTCCCAACTGGCGGGCGGTCCGGCAACTATTCATGTGTAAATTTGAACAAAAGGCGCTGAGGGTGACAATTACGAGTCGGTCAAGTCAAGTCGGTCGGTGCTGTGCTGTGCTGTGCTGCTGGGCTCCTTCGACTTGTTCGCCGTCCTCCTTTCCTTTCGGCCATGTTCCCAGTTCCGTTTTATGGCCATTTGCTTTATGTAATGCCAAGTGTTTGGCCCAGAGACGGTGGCATAATGGCAAAGGGCGACCGAGGCAGCGGCGCAGTTTTAATGTGCAATAAACTGTAACGATAATGATTATGCGTTCTAGGTGGGCCAGGGCGGTGCAAAAGAGACGGGACGAGACAATCAGAGGGAGAGGGGAATAGGCCTCGGCTGTTGCAGCAGTCAATTCTCGGCATAAGTTGACTTTAATGTGCGCCAAAGTGGCAATTATTGAAAGTGCTCGGCCAGTCCGAGAAGTGTAACAAGCAATCGTTTTGTTTCGGTCTCCTTGATTTCGCCAAATGAATTTTATATTGAATTTAATTTTTATCCTATTAACATGAGTGCGGAGCAATGGGATTACGGATATAACTGTCGTCTTAAAGGAAAGCAAAGCGGAACAATGGTTGTTTGAATTTTTATTAAACCTCCATTGTTCCTTGGGTATTACTGTTTAAAATAATTCACCATCAGAATAAAATGACGATTGACCATCAAAAAAAGTGCAGAACTTTATATTTGCTTCTATAAATTCCCTTTACAGTTCAGCTATCATCTTTTTAATATAACTATAAAATAGTGTATATAATTTTACCACACTTACACGAATTCATAAAAGTAA